AGTAGTAGCAGTAGTAGTAGTAGGAATAGCAGTAGCAGTAGCAGTAGCAGTAGCAGCAGCAGCAGCAGCAGCAGTAGCAGTAGCAGTCGCTGCAGTAGCAGCAGTAGCAGTAAGCAGTCGCTGCAGTAGCAGCAGCAGCAGCAGTAGCAGTAGCAGTAGCAGTAGCAGTAGCGGTAGCAGTAGCGGTAGCGGTAGTGGTAGCGGCAGCAGTAGCGGTGGCAGTAGCGGTAGCGGTAGCGGTAGCGGTAGCGGTAGCGGTAGCACTAGCCGTAGCACTAGCCGTAGCGGTAGCGGTAGCAGTAGCAGTAGCAGTAGCAGTAGCAGTAGCAGTAGCAGTAGCGGTAGCAGTAGTCACACTAGTACTAGTCTAGCACTAACGCCAGTACTAGTACTAGTACTAATACTGGCCAGCACAAGACCAAAATACTAATTAGTAGTAGTAACACTAGAAGTACCAGAAGTACTGCACGCATAGACATGACGAGAAGCACTAATGGGACTAGCACTACTGCGAGTACTACTATTCGTACTTGAAGTCACGGCAATAGGGTGAGTTAAATCTGGTTCACGATTCCGGACACAGATCTAAACCCTCAAACCGACATGCCCATCTGTAAGCCTTAGGCCCCAAGCTGAACAGCTTGCTACGGCCTGCCTGTGCTCTCCAATGTAGCTCTTTTTGGGAGGAACTCATTTTGTGGCTTGATCCTCTAATGAGGAGTAACCAACAAATGACAAAAGGACATTACAACTGAGGGTAGAAAACACTTGCAAACAAAACTTTCAATCGCCTCAACGCCCTTGTAGAACCTTTCGAAACCCTTGTAGAGGCCGCTTGAAGCCCTAATGAAACCCGTGCAGAACGCCAGGAAACTTGTAACGCGTTTTTAAACGCCGTTAAGAACCCTGTCAGAGTCCTGCATATTGCATAGTATCATTTCAATTCCTTCAAGAGGCCGTTCTTCCACCGGTTTAAGCCCTTCTAGAACTCTCAGTCACAATTCACAAGATCGGGCCGGTCACCTCCGGCGCAGATGGCCGCCTGGGCGATGCTCTTGATGGACTCCTTCGGCTGCGGTTTCTAGTGCTGTGCCTTTGTGTGGTGGAAGAGGGTCGTTCTTGGGTGTTTTTCGGGCTGAAGGTTAGGGCTAACAGCTTGTTGGGCTTGAGGGGGTTTAGGGCGAAGGGCTCCAAATCAGGGTCCAGGGCGTAGTGGCATGGGATTCTCCAGGGGAAGAAGATATGTCGCGTCCAGCTGGTTCAGGAGTCCGCGTTGGGGTTCAGCCTTTGGGACTTAAAGTCGAGGGCTCCGGGTCCAGGGGTTGGGGCTTAGGGCCTACAGCTTGCAGGTTGAGTTCATGCTCTACTTAGGTTGTGACTATCGTACACCGAACACTGCTTCCAACTCACACAAACCCAGACCCAAAACAAAATGCAAAAAGCAAGTCCGCACTCGGAATCCTGACTCACGCAGGCAAAAAAACATGCAACATTAAAAACCCTAAGCGCCCGGGCCAGCCTAAACCAGCGACGGACCCGTTTGAAAACCCTAAACCCTAAACCCTGAACACCAAACCATGAGAGCCGTCCGCTGAAGTTCAAACATCTTACAAAAGCTGAAACCGGCTTAGAACCCGTAATGTAGGGGCCTTAATACTTAGAATAGGGCCCATTATACTACAGTTACAGTAATAAGGAACCCCCCAAAATAGTTTTGGTAATTATTTAGGCCCCTACATTATAAAGCCCCTTACAATCCCGAAAGCCCTTTTAGCACCCTTTATTCACCCCAATAAACCCCTATTGAAACCCCCCCCCACCCCGCTTAAACGTAGACCGAAACCCTCTCCTCTGGAGGATGCGCCAATCGGACTGCCACCTCCAGCTCCTCCCAAAAACTCGCAGCGTCCGGGCTTCGGGGTGGGTTTGGGGTCATAAACCTTAAACTAAACCATTAAACCCTTGGATTTAAAGGTATTGGGGGCCTCTACACCCTCAGCTAAAACCTAGGATTTAAAGGTATTTGGCTTCCTCGGGCTCAGGGTAGTGTTTTGGGGCGGTGAAGTCTATTTTTTTGCGCCTTTGTCCGTCTTGCAGAGAATCCGGAACATCTGCTTCAGATGAGACGGCTAAACCCCCTCACAGACAAACAGGTAGATCTCAGTATCCATCAGGGCTTCGGGTTTAGGGTTGAGGGTTTAAGGTTTAGGGTTTGGCTTAGGGTTGAGGGTCTGAGGCTTTAGGGCTTGAGGGCTTTAGGGCTTTAGGGTTTAGGGTTTAGGGTTTGGGGGTTTACCATGGGGTTCGGGGCTTGGGGTTTACGATTAGCTCCGCCGCGTACGCAGTAGCTACGCGTTGCGACTTCAAGCAGAAAATACCTGACGGTTCAGGGTTTCCGCATTATTAAGAGTGTTTGTACTCAATATGTATACTCTAGATATATGCATACACACGCTTGTGTATGTGTATATATCTATCTATCTATCTATCTATCTATCTAACTATCTATCTATCTATCTATCTATCTATCTATCACTCCATCAATCAATCAGTCTATCCATCTATTTACCGATCTGTCGATGTAGCTATCTAGCTGTCTATCTGTCTAGCTATCTATCTATCTACCTATCTATCTGTACATAAATACATACATACATACATACGTACATATCTGTGTGTATATATACAATGATATGTATGTATATATATATATACATATATATATATGTATAGATAGATGGTTTAGGGCTTTTGGTCTTTGGATTTATTGTTTAACGCCTTAGTCACAAGCCCCCAAAGCGGGCTCCGCCAGGAGCCGCCGCCAGGCCGCACCGCCATTCAGCGCCACGTCGGCGCCGGATATCCTCAGGATCCCCCATAGCAGAAAATGTTTGGGTTTGGGGGTTCTGGGTCAAGGGTGTAAAGTTTAGGATGATTTAGGGCTTGGGGCTTTTATCAGAATTGTTTGCGGAGCTTTATGAGGGCTATGTCGGGTTTTGTATGTAACGCGTCCTCATAGAGCTTTAGATGGGTTCCTGTAGGGACTCTTTAGCGCTTCTTTAGAATTTTACAGGATTCGATAGCCTTCACATCAGTGTTGCCAGGGCTTGGCATAGGTTGGGAGTTTCAGGCTTTGGGGCTTTGCGTCCCTGTTGGGTTGGGGGTCTCTGACGCCGAAGGTTCTGGGCTTCTCCGGTCTGGTCTGGTCTGGTCTGGTCTCCCACTGCTATGGTCTCCCAGTGCTAGACGCATGTACCTTGAACTACCAGCACCTACTTTTTTGTAGGTTCTGGTTAAGACGCCCCTAGAACCCTAAACCCCTGAACCCCTGACTCCTAAACCCTAAACCCTAAACCCTAAGCCCTAAACCCTACAACCCTAAACCCTAAACCCCTGAACCCCTAAACCCTAAACCCCAAAAGCCCTAAGTAGTCCTTTTTCCGTCGGGGCCTGAATCACAGAGCTTTGGATCTCGAGCCGGGTTTAGGGTCTAGTGGTTTAGGGTTTAGGGTTTTTCGGGTTTAGGGTTTAGGGGTTTAGGGGTTTAGGGTTTAGGGGTTTAGGGGTTCAGGGGTTTAGGGTTTGGGGTTGAAGGGTTTAGGGTTTAGGGTTGAGGGGTTTCGGGCTGAAGGTTTAGAGTTTGGGGGTTTGGGGTTAGGCAGGATTCAGGGTTTTGGGGTCCAGATGCCCTGTATTCCATCTGATACT